CTATCAAATGGAGCCATTTGCTGGTTTCCCACAGAATTTCTTGGAAGTGTGATCTTTGCCTCCCGTAAGCTAATATCAATAACAACACTGGCTGTCATTATGGAGAGCTTACAGTGTATGAGCCAAGCACCACATATGCCCCTTGGAATCCTTCCAGAAACCCTGATGGGGCCCTTTCTCCTTTCCCTCCACCTCATTTAACAGATGAGGAAACAGATGAGCAGTGAGAATCCACATCAGGCCAGGCGGTCTGGCCCCACTTCCTTCTGAATGCCCAGGCTCTGCCACCTCCCAGGTTGGGGTGGTGCTGGAGGAAGGCATCAGGGCCAAGGCTGGGGCTGGGAACAGAAGAACCTTCTGGCAATGACCACCACAAAGCTGCTGGCTGTGGGGATTTCAAGTGATTCTGAAAGTACATTCCATGGCCACTAGTCTGAATTTAGGTCACTCTGAACGAACTGAGAGGTCAACGTGGAAATTCCCCTGCTATGTGTGACCAGCCCTGGGTCATTTAGAAACAAGAGACTCTGGGTCTGAAACATGTGGGGAGGCCAGTTTGCCCAGCTCCTTGCTTTGGTCAGAACTTTAGATTATTTCTTCCTAGGAGGAAGGGTCACCAGGCGCCATACATTTCCCGATCACTGCCTGTGTACCTGTATTCCCCGTCATTCCACCTGGACTCATGACAGCAAGCCAGCAGGGGATACATTGCTGGCCCCATTTCTCAGATGGGAAAGCTGAGGCTCAGAGAGATGAAGTCGTGGAATCAAGGTAATGCCTTTGTTAAGCTGGAGTTCAAAGCCGCAGCAGTCTGATTGCAAAGATGTCGAAGGAATTTTCACAATGGGAGCACGCCAAGGTAACCAACACCCAGCCAACACAGGAGATCAGAGACAAAGCTCAGAGCCTCCAGGGAAGCACCCTTTCCTGCAAACCTTCAGTAACTCTGAGCTTCCTCTTTGATGCCTTCTGCATGTTCTGGTGGATGGAACCCAGGCCATGGGACTGTGGCAGTGAGTGGAGCTTTGAAGCGAGGGATGGGTCAAGGGGAGGATTCCATCACTGGCTAAAAGGACAGGCGTCCCCCTTGGGGATATGGGGTCTACCTTCTTCTCTTCTGCAGTGAGGTTGGGGAAGCCAGTTTCCAGACTCAGGCCAATTCTCACTTCCACCTCCATCAGCGTGGGGAGGGCAAGAAAGTATGGTGGAGGCCCTGGGTCGAATAGTTCATCTGTAACATGGAGATTAGGGCAGTATCTACCCTTATGTTATGATGTGTGAACCATTTAGAGCAGTGCCCAGCTCACAATAAGGGTGACTCTGGCAGATCTGTGTTCAGACCCAAATTCCCTGTGTACCAGCTATGTGACCCTAGACAACTTTCTAACCTCTCTGAGCCTCACTTTCCTCACCTATAAAATGGGAATAGCAGTATCTTCCTCAAGGTGCTGTTGTGAAAATTAAATGAGACAGCAACCCAGTGCCCAACACACAGTAGAATCTCAGCCAATGGTAAATATGCCTAACAGAATTTGCACGCCAGCATCTAAGGCCCTCCTGCTCCTTTCCACCCGCCACCAGGAGATCTTGACGGGTTGCAGTCTAATGGTATCATCAAGTGTTTTTCCTACCATTTCCAGGGAAGTAAAAGCACACAGAACTTGCTAACAAGTCCCAAGGAATGACCAGGCCCAGTGGAAACTCATATGTGCCGATGGGGACAGAAGCAAGAGAGTTTCTAAATTCCTACAGACTTTAGAGAATGGAAGAGGCTTAAAACCTTGCTCTGTTCCATCCCAGCAATTCCACTTCTGGATATCTATTTTAAAGCAAATACCCTTTGGGGCACCTGGGTGGCTCAGTGGGTTAAGCCTCTGCCTTCAGTCGGGTCATGATCTCAGGGTCCTGGGATCAAGCTCCGTGTTGGGCTCTCTGCTCGACAGGGAGCCTGCTTTCCCCCTTTCTCAGGGGGAGAGAGCCTACTACTCTGCCTACTTGTGATTTCTCTCTCTGTCAAATAAATAAATAAAATCTTAAAACAAAATAAAGCAAATACCCTTTAAACATAGACAAAGCTTTAACATCCCAGTGTTAACCATAATAATGAGTGGGGGGTGGTGACCTGAAAATCATAATAAGGAAAAAAACAATCAATAAAAACAGACCCAGAAATGACCCCAATGACAGAGTTAGTAGATAGACCTATTAGAACACTTATAATAACAATAGTCCTTGTGCTTAAGACAGGAAAGCTTGAGTGGGGTAAGTAGAATCATAGATTTTTTTTTTAAACCCAGATCAAATTTCTAGCAAAAAACAAATACACTCAGAGGAAAGGAACAGTGGATAGGACTAAGGCAGATTTGACAACACAGAAGAAAAGGCAAGTTGTTTTCTGTTCATTGAAGCAGGAATGGTACTGATAAAGATGGTGGTGATGGTGGAAACCATCATAACTACCATCTGTTGATCTCCAGCTTTGGACCAAGCCCCATTCACCTACCATGTTGTTTAATTCCTGCAACAGGCCCGTGAAGTAGGTACTGTCATTGTTCCCATTTTACACATGAGGAAAAGGAAGACATGATGCTCCAGGTGAGGCAGCTGGAGCTCCAGGGAGTTTAGCCTTAACCCAGGTGGTCTGGATTTGAAAACCACCTCCCACCCTCTTCACTTCCATGAAATGCTACATGGCCCGAGCTGTGGTCTCTGTGGCGGCTTTCTTTCCACAGGTGGGGCCCGGTACAGTGTGCTGGATGCACATGGTCTCTAAACCCCATGGGGATCAGAGAAGGGAGGGACTATTGTCCTCATATTGTCCCCACCAGCGAATGAGGAAACCAATTGCTCCATGTAGGGGGAGCAGTTGGCTCAGAGTGCCAGTGTTGGTAAGAGAAGGAGCCAGAATTTGAAGCAGGTCCCTCTGGCACCAAACCTAGCCTTTCAGGTGTGCCCTGGGGTATCAGGGCATGTCAGGGACAGTGGTTCTGAGGCCTCTTTGTAGCATTAATGGTATGTCTTCTCTCCCATTAGGGAAAAGCCTCTGGAATCAACAAAGTACCTGTGGTCCTTGCTGGTTTTGCTCCTACCCAAATGATAACTAGATCGGGAGAAGCTGGGATTCTGAGAGGTACCCACAACCCCATCAGGAGCCCGTATCTGGAGGACAGTATGGTGAAGTCCCACACTGAGAGCAGTGTAAGGGAATGACCACAGAGCCCATGACAAGAAGGCATGTCGCAGAAAATGCCGGGACATATGGTGAGCTTACTGCTTGCTTATTTTGCATGAAGATTATTTTCTCACAGATGAAGTGGTTGGTTGGTGACTGAGTCAAGGAACAAAGGAAAAAATTTAGACTCGAGAAAGAACTCTCAGCAGTGACTCTTACTGGCACACTTTTTTGGGTGAATTGGCAGCAAGGTCAGTCTGCGGACTATGTCCTTGAGAACCATTTAACAGGCATGGGAGAAAACGAATCTCTACTACCGGTGGACCCTCTATTAAAACTTGAAAGGTTACCAGTGGAGTGTTTGTGGGAGACCATCTCTAGAACGCCTGCCACCAGCACCTGCACTCTAGCTAGGCTGAGTCCATACCATCGGCCATGTTAGGATTCTTCTACACAAACGGAGGCAGACCCGCAGAGTAAAATGTCAACACCCATCAACTGCCTTCAAATTGTACCCATGCTGTGACGCTCAAGTTCACTTTAGGAACAGATCCTCCGAATTAATTCTGGACACGACCTGAGATCTAGCCTCCAAGATGTCTCTCACTGTACCCCTGTATGGACTAGAATAGTATTACAAAAATAAATGAGGGGAAACAACCCATATATCCATCAATAGGGGATTCATTAAATGTACAGCAGAGATGTGTAAAGGAATACAGAGTTGCCTTGCCAACTGTTACCACCGAAGAATCCTTAATGACATAGAAATAGGTTCAAGCTATATGGGTCAATGAAAAGACAAAGGACTACTTGTAACATTTTTCTAATCTGGAAAGGGAAAAGTGTGGAAAGGTCTGTAGAGCCATAGAACCAGAAGAACAGACACAAAAGGTTAATGGTAGAAATAACTCAGGAGCCTCTCAGTGGGTGAATGAAGTTGATGGGGTAGAGATACCAAGATGAGGTAGGATTTCGCCGTGAAAAGAAGGCCATCCAGCCATTTGTGACAACATGAATGGACCTTGAGGACATTATGCTAAGTGAGATAAGTCAGAGAGAGAAAGACAAATACTGTTTGATCTCACTTATCTGTGGAGTCTGAAAAAGCCAAATGCAGGGGGCACCTGGTTGACTCAGGCAGTAAAGCATGAAATTCTCAATCTCAAATCCAGGGTTAGTAGTTCAAGGCCACATGAGGCATGGAAACTACTTAAAAAAAAAAAACACACAACTTCATAAAAACAGAGCATAAAATGGTGGTTACCAGGAGACAGGGAGGAGCGAAAATAGGACAGGTAATGTTACAAGCAAAAGCTTGCAACAAGTAGTAAATAAGTCCTAGAGATCAAATGCACAGTCTATAGAATACAGACAACAATATTGCATTGTAATCACTCAACTTGCTAAGAGATTAGATCTTTTTTCCAACCACTAAAAAGAAATTATAATTCTGTGACGTGACGGAGGTACTAATTATTGCTAAATGGGCAGTCATGGTGTAATATATGAATGTATCCACTCAACATGTTATACACCTGAAATTTATACAATGTTATATGTCAAATAGATTTCAATCCCCCCCCAAAAAAGGGAATGGTGTATACCGGATTCACAAGCGATTTTAAATTGTTTTGTCTATGATTTTCAGGTCTCCTTCACTGAATGTGTTCATTTTGCAATCAAAAGTTTTAAAAAAAAAACTGGTATTAAAAATAAAAACCATAAAATTCCCCGTTGCTAAAAACAGGAAATGGAGAGAGTGTGCCGGATGCCAGAGCTGGGAAGGACAGGGGTGGGCTCTGCCGGGTAGGGCAACTCTGATATAAAAGTCTGCCTGTATAGAAAGGTACTTCCAGCAGCTGCATCCACTGCTCTGTGCTGGGACCATGGAGCTTCCCCTGCTGTGCACACTGCTGGTGTTTGCTGGTGAGCTGGGAAGGGAAGGTGGGACATGAGTGGGCGCTGTATCTTCTTCCTCAACTGAGCCTCTGCTCTGATCCCCTGTGCTGGCCCCCAGTCCTCAACCCTTCTGCCCCTGCAAGGAGCCAGCAGCAGTGGCTGGTCCCCTAGAACGCTGGCTTTGGCCGGGGAGCTCTGGGCTGCCATGCCGTGCAGCATGCCTCTGGTCTGCCATGAGGCTCAGACACTGGGGCTGGCTAAGCAGGTGCCTGCAGGACTTTGGACACAAGTTACAGAAAAGGATCTCCCCACTTCACCCTGCTCCCCTTTGTCACCTTGGCCAGTTAATAATGATCTTTCACTTACTCACAGCACCATGTACTTTTAGAACCCTTTCTTTCATGTTCATTGTCTCCTTTGAACCTGGGAAGAGGGTCCTGTTAATGGTGGTGGGAGATGGGGCGGTTTCCATTCAATCTTGCACAGATCATGTAAAAATGTGCTTGCTAGCAAATTGGTGTTTTTGTTTCTCAATCCATCCAAGTATCCAGTGTTAGAAAGGATTTGTACTTTAAAGTGGGGCTTTATATAATCCTGGGACTACTAAATTTTTTTAGAGGAACACATCTCCAGGGCTACAGCAAAAACCATCGGGGGAAATTGCAGTCAAGCTACAGGAACTCATCTCTCAGACATAAAAAAGCAATACACTGGAGAGAGAAAATACACAGGCGAGCCTGCATTCAAATGCTGTCTCCTGGCAGGATGACCTTGGCCAAGTCACCCCACCTCTCTATGTCCTCACCTATAAAATGGACACAATAACACCCTCTTCATAAGGTTGTTAGGACTTTGAAGAGAAAATGTATCCAAAGGGTTTAGCAAGTGGGATTAATAATGAGCAAACAATAGCTTCACCCACGGCACGTGTGTGATGAGCTGATAGCCGTGTAACTCTTGGGGGAAGGGCGCTCATCCCCCTTGGTGGCAGCAAAGGATAGAAAGACTGCCAGGACAGGAATTACTGACAAGCTAAGCCAGTTCACCAAAGGCCTCATGACCCCACATGGAGCTCCTCGGGGTCTCAGAGCTGGTTTCTCCTGACTCTAAAATTATAAGAAATAAGACTACCATACCAAAGCATTCTGAACCAAAGCTCAACTTACAGCTTGCCTGACAAGGAAAACTACGTCATTCAAGTGTGAGTTTGTGTATTGCTAATGACATGGAAAGAGCCAGACTTGGGGCAGAAAGAGGGATGAGGTAGACCAGAAAGGCAAGATTCTGAATTCAGGTCCCTGGTTCATGCACAAGGTGGGTGGTAAGTCCGCTGTGGCTTGCCTCTGGTTTCCTTAGCACAGAAACTGGGCTTCCGGTGGGCCTGGGATGGGGGATGGATCATTAGTCCCCTCAAGGCTTAGCAAGGGTGTCCAGTTGGAGCCACCGTGTCAAACAGGAGTAACAACATGGGTTCCTGTACATTGAGGGGACACCCGGGGACAGAACGGACCTGCAAGTACCAGACACCCCCGGTCACTTTTAGCTGCAGCCCAAGGCAACCTGCTGGGGATCTCACCCTTGGCCCATTGCACGATCCCCTCCCAAATCCCCTCTTCCCACCTCCCCCTCTCCCAATTTAGGGCTCACTCCCAGGTGAGCCACGGGAGTGCTTTTTTCTGTAGCTTTCTCTAAGGGAGGTAGGGGAGAGGGTGTGCAAGGCGGGGTGCAGGGAGAAGGGTGAGTCTTCCTGTTACAGACTGGAAACTCAGTGCAGAAGCAGGAAATGGTGCCAAGCCGCCCGGGGTTTCAGTCCTAGCTCCTCCATGTACTGGCCACTGTGACCCAGTATGAGGCTGGAGCTGCTCATCCATAAAGTGGGCATTAAGCATAGCTCTTGTTGTACAGTTTCTTAGTTCCCAAAAGTATACCGTAATTACGTAAGCTGATCATAACTTCAAAGGGAAGTAGGCGAGGGGTGTATAAGATCGCTCTGTAACTCCTTGCAACTTTTCTGTACCTCTAGAAAGTACCAAAATAAAAAGAGTATTTATTGGGTGGGGAGGATGAGTATTTATCTCACAGGCTGAATGAAGTCAGTAAATGACTACATGAGCACCTGGTTGGCTCAGTCGGTTAAGCATCCCAGGGTCCTGGGATCAAGTCCTGCTTTGGGCTCCTTGCTCAGCAGGAAGCCTGCTTCTCCCTCTGCCTCTCCCTCTGCCCCTACCCCCTGCTCGAGCTCTCCCTCTCTCTTTAAAACAAAACAAAACAAAACAAAAAACATAATAAGCACTCACCATTGCTGTATTTTTAACAGCCATAGTGCATAGGGGCTGTTGTCATTTTATTATCCAAGGTCACTGGTTTGGTCCAACCGGGCACAAGTGCCAGGCCTGTGGTCCGCTGGCCACCTCTGACGTTCATGTCCTCTTTGTTGCTGGGCTTTTTGGCAGGTGTGATTCCAACCCAGGGCGGGATCTTGAACCTGAACACGATGATCAAACAGATGACCAGGATGACACCCCTCATCTCCTACTGGTCCTATGGCTGTCACTGTGGACCTGGGGGCAAAGGTCAACCCAAAGATGCCACAGACAGGTAATCCCTTCACAGGCAGGGCGGTGGTGGCCGTCCTGTCCTGCCCGCACCCCGGGATTCTCCCCTTTCCTGTTCTCCCATGTATTCATTCCATGAATTCATTCTGTGGTCTGTTCTAGCAACCCTGGTGAGGCCCGGTACCGTCCAGGCCCTCCTGGAGCTTGCCTTCTGGCTGGTTCTGCAGAGTCTCTGAAGGCTCCCTGCCCTTCCAACCCCGACCTGGTTAGAATACCCACACGTACTCCCTGCTGCCACTGCATGCTGTTTTTTCAAAAAAATTCCTACTTCTTTTTTGCCACTGTCTCGTGCAATCTTCACCAGGAGGAATCGGCCAGGAGGGAGGAGAGCCACCCAGACCCAGGGTCACTTCCCTCATCCACCACTTACAGGCTGTGTGGCCCTGGGCATGTGGCTTGACCTCCTTGAGTCTGTTTCTTCATTTGTCAAATGGGGATCATACTAGTGCCCCCATCACAGGGTAGTAGTGAAGATGAAGAGAGTATTCACACACGAAACACGTGCCTGGCTCACAGGAAGCCTTCAGTAGGCCTTAGCTAGTGCACTCTCCATAGCGTGCGCTCAGTTTCCCCCCTCATGCAGCCGTGCTCCCTGCCTGACCCTCCTCCTGTCCTCTCTCTCCAGGTGCTGTCAGAACCATGACTGCTGCTATGCTCACCTGAGGCAGCACCAGTGCCGTGTCCACACAGACCACTACAACTACACCTTCTCCCACGGGGACATCCAGTGCCGTGAGTGCCTGGGGTCTCGGGTTTGGAGTTAGAGGCTGAGGAAGGGAGGTCTGGCGCTTACTGCCTTCACGTGCTGTGTGACAGTACACAAGCCACTCAAGCTGTCTTTCTCGTATGTCCAGCAACAGTAGCGGGGCTCTGGAGGAATGGGGCGGGGAGTAGGGAGAGGTCCAATGGGCGCTGGATCTGGAAGGGCGGCGGACCTCAGCTTGGATCCCAGAGCCACAATCAACCAGCTGTGTGACCTTGAACACATTGCTTAACCCCTCGGAGCATCAGTATTCTCATCCTTAAACTCAGGATGATAAGAGCATTCTACTCCCTAAAGGTAATTCCAGAGCTAAAATGAGAGCAGACGGAATGAGCCTCACACAGGTCTGCTGCCAGGCGCGTGCTCAGATCAATCACTTGGGCTAAGTACGGTATCATTGTTACAACTTACATCGTTACTGTTCCTCAGAGCAGCCCGGCCACGAGCAGCATCACCCTGATGATCTCCATTTTACAGACAAGGAATGTGAGGCCAGAGGGAAGAGGTGTTTGTCCAGGGTCACCCAGCTGCAGGTGACAGAGCCTGGGCTAGACCTCGGGTCCCCCCCAGCCCTGGGCCCCTGCCTGGAGACAGCGGGCAGCTCCCAGGGCCGGGAATCAAGTGGGCTCATCACATCACTGCCTATTCATTGAAGGCTTAATAATAGCAACAGGGGTGTTTCGGTGGCTCAGTAAGTTAAGCATCTGCCTTTGGCTCAGGTCATGGTCTCGGGGTCTGGAATCAACCCTCATGTCGGGCTCCCTGCTCAGCGGGTAGTCTGCTTGTCCCTCTCCCTCTGCCCCTCCTCCCCCTCATGCTCACTGTCACTCTATTCTCTCTCTCAAATAAATAAATAAAATCTTTCAATAATGATAATAGCAATAATAATAGCCAACATTTATTGAGCACCTACTGTGTGCTGAGCGCTTTGCTTCTCCTGTACTCTCAGCAGCCCCAAGGCCAGCCCTTACCTTCATCCCAAGGACAGATAGTGAAACTGATGCACCAAGGTCCGTTCAGCCTTAGTCTCCGCACATGCTGTCCCCTCTGCCTGGAGCACACCCCCTCGGCCATCATGGCTTTCCGCAGGGGGAGCAGACCCCTCCCACCTCAGCTCAAATGGCTCTTGGTGCTGAGTCACCTTCCCCCATTTTACTGTCTTGTAGACCCTGCGTCATCCCTTACTTCCGCGAGGAACAGGCTATGATCCCCATTTCTGTGTTTCCCAAATATCTGCTGCGCCCCCAGGAGTGTAAACCCTATGCATCAGTTCGGTCCGTCCTATCCCCCTAGGGCCTGCCACAGGATGGGGGCTCAATTGTCTAGTAAACGGATGACTAAATGAATAAAGGAGTAAGGCACCCAGGGAGGCCACCGCACGTGCCCACGGTCACGCGGCTAGAGCCCAAGCAGCTTGGCAGGGTACTATAGCAGAGCAAAGACAGGGCTGCCTTCAGAGACTCCCTCCAGGCACCTTAAGGCCACCTTGGGCTCTGCCTCGGGAAGGAATAGACACTGAGCTCTGTTCTCCTCCACCTGCAGCGGACAAGGCGAGCTGGTGCGAGCAGCAGCTGTGCGCCTGTGACAAGACGGTGGCCCTCTGCCTGAAGCAGAACCTGGAGACCTATCAGAAGCACCTGCGTTACTACTGGCGTCCCCGCTGCAAAGGCCAGACCCCCACGTGCTAGGAGTAGCCCAGCCTGCTGCCCTGCACTCCCTCCTCCGTTCCTCAGCATCTCCGGCTCTGGAACTCCACCCCTGCCCCAGCGTCAGACCCCCCCTCCACTGGCCTGGGAGGGTCTCAACCACGCCTCACCCTCCTTCTTGTTCTTGGACCTTCCAAATCTTTCCGGCTGAGGCAGACGCTCCTTCTGAGCATGGATTAAGATCTGAGAAGAAGCCAAGTCCAGGAAGCCTCCTAGGGATGGTGTTTGGGCTGAAGATGCAGGTGTTAGGGGTGGGGACTTGGGGGCCCTGGTGTGGCGGGTCCTCCCTGCCACTGCCACTGCCACTTGACAGCCTGAGTCTCCCCCTGTCCAACACACTGTCCAAGCTGCAGCTGGGATGGCCTCTCTGAAGGGCAATGCTGATCCTTCTGTCCACATGGCTCTACTTCTTAAAATCCAAAGCCCCCCACTGCCCCCGCCCCAGGGAGGACCTCTCACAGAGTTTGGGACCCGCATTGTCCACCACTATGTCGCTCTCCCAAACTAGGCTGGGCGGTCCTTGTGGGAAGCACCCATGACCATTTTGGACTTGTTGCATCTGTGCACCCAAAGTCGTACCCAGGATCCAGAAGGAACTCCATGAATCCCTCTGGAGCTAAAGGCCAGATGAAGCTGCCTGGTCCTCTTGCTCCAGACTCAGGTCCGCACGCACACCTGGTGTGTCCTCTCCTGCTTCCAGGAGCTTTCTCAGGCTGGAACTTTGGCGGAGCTCTCCTCCTGCCATCCCCAGGTGACCAAGCCCCACCGAGGCTCCTCAGGGTCCCAGGGCCACTTGCAACAGAAGCCTCCCCTGGCTAACTCCTCCTTGGCTCTGAGGGCTTGTTCTGTCCTCCAAACCCACATAGCACTTTATGGGTCTGTAATCTACCAGGTTTGATCTTAAGTGGAATATAACATCTGGCCTTTTCTGATCCCCTCCCACTGGACTAGAGCTCCTGGAGGACAGGGGCTTTGTCTCTCATCTTTGTTTCCTCTGCTCCCTGAAATAGCAAATGGGCTCGATTAATGCTCATAGACAAATGAGCCCATGATGGATGGATGGAGGTTGTGGTAGATGCTGCTGGTACCCCACCCAGATCCACACCTGGCCCTTTCCCCAACATCCCCAGATGTTTGGCTGCTGTGTGCTCATGTCTGTCTCCTCCGTGTCTGCTGGGAGCTACCACCCCTCCCACCCTGCTCACTTCTAACCAGTGCCTAGAGAGTGTAATACCAGAAGGATGTAACTGACCAGCCCCAGCCTCCCTGCAGGACCACCAGGCGGCATGGAAGCAGGCTGAGGCCAGACGTCTGGAACAACTCTTTGCTTAGCTTCATACCCTGGTCTGGCCTGTTTCCCTTGCTGCCTTACAGGTTTCTCCTGAGAGCATGCCCTCAATAAATCGCTCACTTGCACAAGAATCCTGTCTCAGGCTCAGCTTCTGGGGAAACTGACTTGTGATGGGTGGATGGATGGACGGGTGAATGGATGGACGGGCGGTTTCTTCATGTAAGGATCTGTCATTTATATGTAATTAGCTGTGTCCCCAGCAACAGGGCTGGAGCACCAGGAGCTACTGGCCCTCTAGCCTGTGACACACATAAGTGAAACCACTGTCAAAGCACGTTTCCTACTTCCACATGAAGTTCAGTGGTTCATGTGAGGCAGGTAATTGAAATTAAGAACCATGGGCACTGGGTTCAAATACTAGTCATACCCCTGACTGCCATGTGACCTCACCTAAGGAATCTTGGGTTTCCACGCATGTAAAGTATAGACAAAAGTTAGAAGAAAATAAGACAAGGTCAGAGGATTAAACAAGATTTATGTGTATGTAGTTGTCAGCACCATGCCCCACACATGGTAATGCCTCTTTATTTAAAAAAAAAAAAAAGATGTATCTATTTTAGGGAGAGAGCAGAGGAGAGGGGCAGAGGGAGAGAGACTCCCAAGCAGACTCCATACCAAGCATGGAGCCCGTCTCCGGGTTCGATCTTATGACCCTGAGATCATGACCTGACCTGAAACCAGGAGTCCATCACTTCACCGACCAAGCCGCCCAGGTGTCCCAATAATGCCTCTTTAATGTTACCTGTAGTACTCTTGCTCTTGTTGTTATGTAATGACCAAATCTGAAATCAAGACATATCAGGAAAAAATAGTTAATCAATGTCCCCCTTCTTTCCACCCAATTCCTCTCTCCCTTCCACGTGACAGTGCAAGCCGTGTCAGTAAGATCCTGGAGCACAATGTTCATTTATTCAAGAGCTGGTGACCCTGCTTGTCCATTAGCACTCCCGTGTGCCAGGCTCTGGGATGGTGACAAGATCAGTCTCGGCAGGCATGGTTACTGTCCTCGTTTTACAACCTGAGGCTCAGAATGGGGACAGCAACCTCCGAGGTCCCACAACCAGCAAAAAGCGAAGCCAGGATTCCACCCCAGACTCTCCCCACTCGGCCCCCTGGCACCCTGTCCCATTTGTACTGGTTAGGAAGCTTCCTGTGACCTGATGGGCTTCAGCAATGACCTCATATGACAAGAAGTCCAGGGGTAAGGTGGCTTTTCGGTGACTTGGTGATGTCATCAGCACCGGTGTCTCTCCAGCTCATGGACCACCTTGGTCGTGCTGCTTTGCCCCCCGCCGCACCCCGCACCCCGGTGGCTCCTCCCAGCTTCCAAATCTGTGGTCCAGACCCCAAACCTGGACATGATAACATCCAGCAGAGAGCATGCGGTCCCTGTTGTGTCTGTTTTCAATGAGCCCTACCACCACCCGCAGGACTGACCACCTCAAACCCTAGTGCCTCAAGGTGATGGGATCACTCTGGTCGGTGTCGATTCCTCAGGTTTTATTTACTCTTGAGAGGAGACCGGGTCAATGTCCCAGAGTTGCGGGTAACGGCTACAATGAGAGCGGTTGGGGTTGTTGATAGGATGGCCTTGGGTGGGCAAGTCCAAGGCTGGGTCAGGAGCAGGACCGTGCCTGTAGCTAAGCACCTGGTGCAGGGCCTGGTGGTCACAGTTTCTTGGTGATCAACAGTTGTTTGTTATGAATGAATGAATGAATGAATGATGAATGATGAATAAATGAATGAATCCCAGGTTGGTAAAGACATGGGACTTTGGACCAAGAAGTGGGATGGGCACATGGGGTCTCAGGTCAGCCACGACTGAGTCCTCAGAGTAAGGTAGGACCCCACTCGCTCCCATGCATTCTCATTCTGGGCCAATTTCCAGTTCCTGGAATTGTTCCTGGAATTGGGTAAGAGACATGAAGGAAGGAGAGACTCACCGGCAGTTTCCGTTCTCCACGCCCATCTCTCAAGGAGCCTGGATGCAGGAGGCAGACAGAAGGACACGAGTCACGGTGCTTCCCCATCCCTTCGGGGGTCAGACTCACAAAGGGACAACCACAGGAGCAGGAGTGGAACCAGCACAGAGCTGCCGACACTGAACACCTGGGGTGCCCACTCCCCCACTCCCCACCCCTCCCTGGGGCATGGTATTGCATCTTCTAGCTGCAGAAACTGAAACTTGAGGGTGAGTCACTTGCTGATAAGTGGCAGAGTCGGGACTCGAACCCAGTTCGCTCTGGCTCCAGGGCTGTGTCTCACCCTACCTCCCACACTCTTTCCTGGGAAAGTTGGTGAATAAGGGCCCTGGGTGCCCCTTAGTGGGTAAGAGGATGAGGAGGTAAGGAGGGATGTGGCCAGGCAGGAAGCAGCCTGGGGAGAGGGATGGGGGTAATACTGTACTGAGAGGAGCCCATCACAGCAGGGCTCACATAGAGCCCTCACAGTGGGAGCCCTTAATGCCACCGCCGGCTGAATCCCCAGGCCACCTGGACCCAGGGTGCCACCTCCAGGGGGCAGGGGACCCAGCCCGGGGCATGAGGGGCAGCTGCCTTCTCCACAGCTCTGCCTGTTTTCCCCGTAGGAACCTCTCCCAAACACCCATGCTCCTTTCACAGGTCCTCTCTGTTGCTGTGATGTGAGGGGGTGAAGGGTGGAGGGGTGAGGGGGTTGGGGGGCGGCTGAGGCTCCTGTGTCAGTGCCCCCTGGAGGGGGCTTGGGGCTGTTCCCTTGGGGTGCAAGGTGTCCTTGCTCACTACTGAGGACAGCCCCGCGCCAACCTCACCGGGGCAGCCTGGACAACAGGGAGTGAGGGCCTGGCTGTCTCTAGAGCTCGGGGGTGGAGGAGGTCCTCTTTTTCTTTTTTTCCACTTAAAATAAAGGAGAGATTTTAAAGTAGTCTGTGAAAACTCAAAGCAGGTCAGAAAAGGCAAGGCGGAGAGGTTCCTTCCTCTCTCTGCATTAGGTTCCTGGCCAAGCCTTGCTTTGGGGCCTCTCCTGGATGGACTTTCCCCGGCTCTTTGCAAGACCGTAGACCATCCCCACTTCGGTCATCCAGAGCTCCTCCAGGAGTCACTCCCTGAGAAAGATCCGGGTCCTCCCAACCTAAATCAACCCCCTCACACCCTAACTTATCTCAATGCTCCGCTTGCCTTTTCTGTCGGTTTTCTTAATCACTCATCCAGCCATTTGTTTATCTTAGATTGGAAAGACTTAGTTTATCACCTCCCAGCCCCTCCCTCAGAACGCTCAGAAATCAGCCCTTCCCTCTGCCCAGGACACGCCCCTCCTCCCAGGAGACCTTGCTGTCAGAGATCATTCTCCAGGCCGGCTATCTCTTTTTGGAGCCCCTACCCTGGGCCCAGGCTGGCCCAGGGGAGGGGCTCTCCTCTCCCCTGAAGCCCCAAGATGAGTCTGCCCCAGGGTCTGGCTCTACGGATCCCTGCTGTACATGAGCCTCCTCGGTCCCCAAAACCCCAAGTCTGAGAACCACAGAGCAGCAGGAAGAGGAAATAATTAAACCAGGTGGCTTCTGGCTTCTTAAGAGGGAGATGGAAAAATGCCATTTTTCAGGGTTCCCCGGTGCTAAGAACCTTCTACACATGATCTCTTACACCTGCCCCCCAGCCAGGTATTTTGACCTTCTTTTATAGGGGAGGAAGCAGGCTCTGATAAGTAAAATATCTTGCCCAAGGTAACTCAATCAACAAGAAGCTACAGAGGCTGGGCACTCGAGGCCAGACCACGCCAAGCTCTGTGTCCCAGGGCCACTCTCTCCAGCCCAGAAGGTGGGCTTCCGAAGGGGGGAAGTTCTGAAACCTCACAGTGGACAAGAATTCCCAGGAGGAGAGTGTTTAAAATGCAGGTTCTTAGGCCAGAACCCAGACCCATGAGGTCTGATTCTTTAAGTCTAGGATGGGACCCAGGAACCTGTATTTTTACCAAGTGCTGCTGGACATTTGGCTTCAACTGGCCCAGCAACATCTTTCAAAAAGGGTGCAGGCTGTCACCTCTATCCCCAGGTCCCCCTTGCCCACTCCCCCTATGGCTAGCATCCAGAGCAGGCAGAGTCTGTCCCCATGGTCAACTGTGGGGCTGACCAGCCCGTTCATGCCAAGGTTGGTTCCTCCTGTGCCAGCACAGCTCAGTGAGCTGGAAAACTGGAGACCCACCTTCTAGATGACTCCATGCAAGCCTTGTGCTCTCAGCCCCCACTTCTTTCTCTGCCAGGTAGGAGGGGGCAGGAGCCTGCTTCCCAAACTTCAACCTTTCACACACCACCATCCAGATGTCTGGTTTAATAATTCAATTTCCTTCTTCTTCTTCTTCTTTTTTTTTTTTAACCTTTCTTAACCTAAATAAATGTATTTAAGAAGGAAGTTAATTCCATTCTGGTATAGAGAAAACCAGTATCACTTGTCATCCACAGGTGACTGTTTAAAAAAAAAAAAAAAGCAATGGAAATAAAACTCTTATTGGAGAAAGAAACGCAGGACCAATAGTTGGGTCAACTAGCAAGCACAGGAGAGGTGCTGAGGATGCTTGGGCTCCATGCAGAGACTGCCTTCAACCGGATGAATTCTGAAGGACTAGAAGGAGCTAGAGAGAGAGCAGGTCAGGTGCTCTGTGAGCAGCACTGTTTGTCCTCTTCTCTGGTGAGTCCCAAGCCAGGTGGGGGATGAGGGGACACCAGCTGGTTGATGCTATAGAAGGTCCTGGAGACGAGGGAGGAGGAACACAGGATCTGCTCTTGGGGAGCACAAGCACACAGGGGAAGAAGGCGGTCACATAG